AATGCCCGCGGACCACGTGGCACGGGCGGAAAAATGCCCGCGGACCACGTGGAACGGGCGGAAAGTGGCCGCGGATCCAGTTCATAAGTCAAGGCGAGTTCGTAAGTAGAGGTACCACTGTATAAGTTTTTGCATTTAAATTCCTGACGTTATATTTATGAATATATTTGTTGATATTGTATTTGTGAATATTATTGAGGCATTCAATGTTATTAATATTCTATTAATAACTAAAACTAAATATAATTAGTTTTACAACTGGTAAATTAGTTATTCTATTAATAACTAAAAAACTAAATATAATTAGTTTTACAACTGGTTCTTCACTCACATATACAAACACACACACACACACACACATATATATAGAAACAAATGATTCTATGCCCATCTCAATTATGCAATTGTCAGCGGCTAACAGAGAAATATATAATATATTACAAGAATTAAAAATAATCAAATCAATTTATTTTATTTTTCAAAATAAAAAATAAAAGAAGAAAACCAAAAAAGTTGTATATGCAGATTGACATGAGACACATGAACTTAAGAAGAAAAACAATTTAAATTTAACAATTTAAACATCCACATTTAATATTTTCTACCCAGTAAATACAGACAAAGGTAATCTCCTAGGGAAAACTTCGTTAATATAGCTAAGAAATGGTGATGAAATTTATATAAACTTGTTCTTAATTGTAGGATAAGCTTCTGGGTATTGATTTAATTTTTCAGGCAGAGTTTTTCAATATAACTTTTCAATACTTTTCAATACAACTGATCCAATTAAGTATTTATCTTTAAGAGTTTTGTGATAAATTGAATCAATTTCTTGTGTTGCATCAGAGTTTAGGAAAAATGAACAGTAAGATAAAAGTAGGTTTCACTGTCAAACCTTCTTAGGCGTTTGCCTGCCAAAAAGAATAATCGACTGGTCATTTCCACCAAAGATGGTAATATTCATCAATTTGTTTACAACCTCAACTCCCCTATCTTATACTCATGTCTTTGATTTTTCAAATGTTCAGTCACTGAATTGCTTCTGGTTCTTTGTGACCCTGATAGTCATCACTTCTGTATTCATCTAATGATATTATGTCCACACACATTTTGCCATGTTCTGCATTAAAATCTCAGGAAATACTTTACTGAATGCTTTTCAGAAGTCAACGTACATTATATTCACCACATTACCATGGCCAACTAAACTGGTCACTCTATCAAACAAGATAGGGAAAGCGTGCAGAGCATGTTTCTAAAACTCTTTCCAACCCCTTAAGAATAGTTCTGCTCTAGGTCATGTGACCAGGAAGGAACAGGGCAGTCTTAGAGTGGAGGACCCATCAACATTTGCAGTGACTGCTTAGCTACCTCTCCCATAGGGGAGCACTGGGGTAATGTTTTCAGTTTTTGTTTTTTTCCCCCTGGGCAGCTCTAACCCATTTTCAAATCTGACTTTTCTTTTCCCATCTTAGTCACCCATACTACATTTGGTTCAGCTCTGTTCAATTTTTAAGTTACCCTGCTTACAGATAGACAGATAGTCTTAAGAGCTTTTGTTATTTTTATCAACATTCCATTAGATTGGAAAAATATAAAAAGATTAGATTGGTTTAGCATGATTTATTCTTGATAAAACCTTGCTGCCTCCTGCCAAGTAGAGTATTCTTCTTTAAATGCTCAAAATTGATAGGTCAATAATCATATCCAAAGTTCTGCCTTGTATTAACGTCAGGCTGACCTAACTGTAATTACCCAGGCCTTTTGACCTTTTTGAAGATACAACAAACCTCCATAATGTCTCCTCTTCCATTTCCTACAGATGTCCCTTTAAATTATTAGCTCAGTCAAAAGCTCCTTATAGTTTCCTAAAATCTCTCGCTGTTATTTTTTAATCACTGGTATTGTGTGCAACTGTACTTCCAGTATCTTACGTATCAACTGTACTTATCCAGTATCTTTTCAGGAGTTCCCAACCTTCCTATGCTCCCTTTGACCCTAGAATTTCTGTTCATGAGATCTTATCTAGTATTTCTCTAAGCTTGCTGAAATTTCTTCTGAAGTGTAATGTGCATGTGCAATGATGTTTCACTTTCTCTATCTGAATTAGCTTGAAACCCAAGATGACATGGTCACTTCCTCCCAAAGTTATCACTGTTCTCTTCTCTATCTATTAGTATCAAATCTAGGAAGGCCAATCCTCCTTCAGTCTTCTGGGAAATGAAACAATCAACAAGACCAATGAGAGGAATTTTGAGACCTTGCAGTCTTGGCCAAGTTGGTTTTCCAATAGAAGTTAAGGTAGCTGAAATCTCCCACTATTATTATGTCTTTCCTCCCTGAAAGTTCAGTAATCTGGTACAGAAGGACATTTATTCCAACCTTCAGCTTAGTTTGGCAGCCTGTATTATATCTCACAATATCTTTGTCATTTCCTATTCCTTGTATTCTTATCCATCTGCCCTTCAATAGAAACCTGTGCTCACATTTCTGGTTCTCAATACACGTGTGTACTTTCTT